CAAGTGATTTCCTCCACGAAGCACATCATGACCTTCGCGCATGACGTAGCGGCCGCGCCACCCCACCCACGGACTGGCCCGGTTTGTTTGGCTATAGGTGGGAAACCCCTACCGGGCTCCAGGCAAAAAACTATCTTTTGGGGCCCCTTGAAGGCAAAAGGGTATCTTTTGGGGCCCCTTGAGGGCAAAAAAAATGCATCTTTTCGCGCCCGTCGGAACAGTTTTCCGACTGCACCCCTAGACCCCCAGTTAGTCGCTGCGCCGCCCTCGCGGCCCCAGCTCATTGTCGGACGCGTACAGTGTCTCCACCCGGTCCGCCCGCGGCCCCATAGCCCGCCCGGCCGGTCCTGGCTCCGCGCTGATTTCCTGGGGGACTCCTCCTGCTCCTCGCGTGTATGTGGGCCACACCGTGCAGCGGCGCCGCGCCCCGAACGGCCCAAATCAAAGCGGCCAGCGGCGGGGGACAGAGTGTGTGGAAGGGGAACGAGGACCTTTTATTGCGCTTATCACCACCAATTTTTCCCAAGCAGAATCCTGTTTACATAATTACAAACGAAATTCTGTAAACGTGGGAGTTTGATTTTTGCAGTCTTCACATGCCTACTAAAAAATTAAAACATCGAGAACTGATCATTGCACAGTATAATTTGCCTTTACAATCCATTCCTTGATGCACCTGTTTTTCAAAAGTTTCAAGAAGGTCAAAACAGAGAAATGATCAATTAGTAGGAGGTGCGCCGGCTCACTGGAAAGCGAGGATCTTCTTCTCCGTGCACCAGGACGTCATCTTGCACCCCTTGGCGTTGACTTTACTCGCGCACCAGTGGCTGGGTCCCCAGGTGCAAGGGTCGGCCCCCAAGACCGGTTCCCCGTGGCCGTGGCCCTCGTGGGGCTGTGGGTCGGCCTGGGAGAGGGCCACCAGCGCCAGCACTAGCGCGAGGCAGAGAACGGCGGCAAAACGAGCCATGGCTGTAAGACAAGAACAGCTCGGCTCAGGTCTGGTAACGGTTTGAAAAACTGCGGCTCAGCTGTAGGATATCTGCTCTGCAAATTAATCTGTATTACAGTATTACAGTTTAAACTGCAAACGTTTTACAGTTAAAACTGCAAAATGTTTCACAGTTTAAACTGCAAAACGTTTCACAGTTTAAACTGTAAAACTGCCGTTTAACAGTTAACTGCACAACTACATAGTGTTTGACATTTCAAACGGTTAAACTACGCAGTCTTGCAGTTTAAATTGTAGAAATTATTAGTTCAATTATTAGTTCAAACTGTAGGACCTTTTAGTCTTGCAGTTTAAACTGTCATCTTGTTAGACAGATTTGCAGAGTGACGTCCGCTCTTTGTTCTCGTCTCCTGTCTGCCCCATTGTAAACTAGTCTGAACAGTCTGAGGTCTGGCAAGAAGACACATTGAGCTTCATGAGGTGCATATGACATGTTAGGGTTTAAGGCACTGCTAGGGTTGCAAAGGAGCAGCAAAAGTTATTGCAGGGGAGCAGCAACAAGTTGAAGAAGTTGCAAGAGTTTTAGGAGCTCCAATAATTGCAGGAGCCGAAAGAGGTGCAAAGGGGCCTTGTCCTTACCTCAGATAACGCGTTGGTATTGCTGTTGGTGAAAACAGAAGCACGAATGATGGTTTGAGCTCTGCCGTGCAGTTATATACAGCAAACTCGTGTCGACTAGTTGACGTCAGTGCGAAAACGCTGACGCGGTGTTAACAACGTGACAGTTAAGGTTGTTTGGTGCTAAAGGGAGGGGGGATTCCAAGAAACTTTTGACAAGTTTTACGACCACAGCCATATATCCAAACCACCTGCTCCCACTGTGGTCATTTACATGTTTGGGTAGAAATACCGTGTAAATAACTGATATGGTTTAGCATGTTCGTGACAATCATCAAAAACAGAACTGGCGGACATTTGTGGCTGCAAGTCTGGGCAACTATATTCCTCTAAAAACATAACATGCACTAAGAGCTACCTTTGGAAATTCCCACAGCACTTCGTTTTCTTCTTCGGAAGTAGATTTAAGTTGTAAAAAACGAATGAAGGGAAGTGTTATAATTATTGCCAACTTTTGAATGCATTGCTGGAACCCATGGATATTTTCAAAATGGAGCTCCACGTAGCAATTCGGAAATACCAAAGGACATTGGAACTTACTACTTCTTCGGGAAATACTAGACTTTCTTTTGACAGTGATCAGCCACCGCAAGTACCGCAGTCGTGAGCTCGTTGGAGAATGTCATTTGACAATTTTGTAATCTTTACATTACAATATTCCTCACGGAAAATTCAGCTGTAAAACCTAAAAGCTCCTCTTTTGACAGTGCCGCCAAATAACGGTGACAAACGCTATACGTTGACACGCGTTTTCGTGTGCACGCGCGAAGTGAAGATGTGCAAGGCCTTGCCCCTCGCCCCCCACCCCCTCCCCTTTGCCGGCCGCGCAGTGCGTGGGGTCCACTTTGTTCGGGGTCCCCGCGGGCGGAGATTCTCGCCCCTCGCTTGTAAACGCCTGTTGCTTCGCCGGAGGAGAAAAGCAGCTCGGGTCCTGTCTCGGCTGGAACTACCTCGCTCCCCGCCCCCTCCTCCTCTCCACTCTAATTTTCCGACGCTTTTGCGCCCCTCTTCACGAACATTATAAACCCCTTTTCCAAAGGCGGATGGAAACTATGCCAACGAGAGCGCTGCGCATCGCTGGAAAAACCAAAAGGTGCACATCCGTAATGACCTTTTTCCGCTCCAATTACAGGCGGAGGCCTAAGTGCAGAAAACAAATAAACCTTCGGCCCTGCGCGCAACAGGAGGTAGCAGGAAGCTCGTTGCTGCTACTGCGAAGGGGTCGCCGCTCGAGTCATCGTGTGTACTGACGGAAGTGTAGTCCCTATGTAATCCGTGTAGTATACCTAACTAAATTTTGAAACATTCTGAGTAAATTTTACTTAGTTATCCAAATTTAATAGTTTTAGCCGTTTTAGCCCGAGACATTTAACAAATTTCATTTAACAAAAATAATCCCTCAAAATTCACGTGTAATCCGTGATCACGGAATCCTGTTGTACATCCTAAATCGAAGTGGTGACCCCTCGTCCTGCAGCCGCTTGTTTCCTTTTTGTTTCTCTTACGTCTCGGTGCCTTTCCGAAGAGGATATTTTAGGCCCCTTCGCGCATGCGAGAGCCTCCCCCATGCTTACACAAATCCCAATAAATATTTCCAGATAAAGCAGCCAGCAGCTGCAGCAGCGTCCCCAGCGGGGCCCATTCCATATCCTCACAATGGCCGGCCTTCGCACGGCTTTTCGGCGCGGGCTGGGCCCAATGACTGCGTGTATGGGGCGCCATGGCGTCGCTTCCACGGCGACTGCTGTACGAAACCTACACCTCTCTCTGTCTCTCCCTCTTTCTTCCCCTCTCTTTAACCCCATCTCTCTCTGTCTCTCCCCATCACCTGCGCCGTGCCGACGGAACTGAATAATACACGCCAGGTTCTTTTTTTCCACCAGCCCGCCTTCTTCTGCTGGGCTTTGCATATACGAGGTAAATCCGGGGGAAGAGGGAGAGGGGGGGGGGAAGGCGTGAGGGTGGAGACAACAGCTATCCAGCCATCGGCTGCAACGGTTATTGTGCCGCGGAAGCGTATATGACGTGGCGCGGGGCTCGCATTCGGGTAGAGGGGCTGCAACGTAACTCCCTGCACACTTTGCTGAGCTCGGCTCAACAACCACAAACACGAAAGTTGCTGAATCACACATTTTGCAGCGGCATTAAAGGAATTTCGAGCTTTATACTTTTGCGGGGGAACTTCAAGCTGCCATGAAAATTAGAGGCGCGGGCTTTTTGTTAAAAAACAAAAACAAACAAAAAAACATTGTAGAGGCACAAAACCCTCAACACCATTTAAAGGTGGGACTTACGTATTGTTTTTCCAGTGAAGAGGTGTGTCCGATACAGCTGTGTAAGGTTCGCAAAAGAGCTCGGCTGGCTGATTTAGTGATGCTAACGCTGTGTAGTGCTGTGTCGATGCAATCGATGCAAGTCGACTATGTTGCCGGAAGCGGGGCTTGGCGGGGCGTGGCTGTTACCGTAAGGCCGCCCGTGAGTGGTGCGTTGGTGCCGCTGCGCGCCCGGTGTTGATGCGTGGCAATCCCTGCTGTGTTGTGTGCGTGTGCGTGCGTGTGTGTTTAGTGTTGCGTGCACGCGCACTGTGCTCTGAAGCAGCAGAACGTGCGGCGCTAGCAGCGTCCCCACGGTCGTAACACATCGCCCACCGCTGCGCCGACACGGTGGTCCACGCACTCGACAAAATATAACAACAGTCCTACGCTCACGCTTGAAACGGCACGCCTTTCGTGGTTCTGAAGCTGGGCGAGCAAAATTAAGCAGACAACCCGTCTGAAACTGAAAGGGGAGCACTCTGCGATTTTACTTGATCGAGCTAAGAGCAGAGACACGACGTCGTTTCCATCGTGCGAACGCTCCCTTTTACTGCGTTATTTATTAGTAGTCATGGAAGGAATGACTTTCACAAAAATGTGAAAACTTTTTTTGGAGATACAAAACCTTTCCACTGTGAATAATAGCTTGCCATTGCTCCGAACGACTGGCGGCCGGGACCGCTTGCGCGGCGGGTCAGAAGGTGGGCGCACGGCCCCCTTGGGGGCTCCGCCCCATAGGTCTGACCCCGCGGCCCATAAATATGTTATTAGCAGCATTATGATGCCCCACTCCCGGGTTTTACTAATTTAAACCCGCCCAATTTGCCTCACGGCAGCGAAGAGCAGCTCTGCACTTACTTGGGCGGAGGGGGAATGTAAGGCGGGCAGAAGTGACCAATGCTCAGGCCCGTGGCAGCTGCCGCCGCTCCCACACCTTGCGCTCATTAGATCGAATCAAGGACGGCCCTTATTGCCCCTCGCTACCACTGCAGTGCAGCAGGAAAAGGTTGGGATTGGTTCGTGTGATTGGTGCTGAGAGAAACGGCAAGCTGCAACCAAACCAAAAGCAAGCTTAAAGTGTGAAATTTGAGTGTGAGGGCAGAGAGAGAGCTCAAGGATTCGTTAGTATACGTTACTCTGCCTTAAACTACTGCAAATCCTTGACCCTTGACCCTTGACCCTTTGACTGAGCACCAACATGTGTAGTGAAAAATATTGCCAAAATGTCATATACAAGCCCAGCAGTGCGACATTGCCACTGGATCGAGGGGGTTTTCACTCGAGATTTCCGTGCACACAGTATTTCGTAATACGTGTATTTCGTCGCAGGGCTGCCAGCGACTCACTTTTCTCACTTTTTCTCACTTTTTTGAAAAAACTCACTTTTACTCACTTTTCTGGTAAAAACTCACTATTCTCACTATTTTGGTCTTCGGGGGCACCTATTCCTCCAAAATTTGCCCCAATGAAACATAAAAGGTAACCCTTGTTGCACTTTGGCGTTAGTGAAGGCATATTTCAGCATCCTAACGGGATATTTTCGTACCCTATGGTTCAAAAAATTTTCTGCTCGCTTCGCTCGCATATATTTTGCTCGTGTAACCAATGCAAATCACGCCTTAATGCACACTGTAGCGCCCTTCGTTCAATTTTCGCGATCGCTTCGCTCG